CTCTGACCAGAGTTCACTCTGTTCCTGGAAACACCTGCGATAAAGCCTTTCAACCACACCCCTCAGCACTGCGCGGCGTGCTCACCTTTCGACCAGAGACACGCCTTTCACCTGCATACCAGCCTTTACAGAGCTGCAGCACGTTACAGGTGGCCTCTTTATTGAGCTGATCGTGTTTGCTTGTTTAATCTCTCTGATCGACCGGTTGCACAAGATGGTTTTAAAGTGCATCATCTGTGCACGCCCAACCTTCCTCTGACAACACCTCGTCTCTCCTTTCTGCTCAGCTGACGCTCCCAGAGAGCAGCGAGCAGAGACAGCAGAGTTCAGGAGAAAGAGCCTGAGAAATGCAGAAAGAGCTCAAATCCAGCTCACTGAAGGGTTTAACAGTGAAAGCACACGACAAAGGTTTGCATGAAGCAGCCGTGATTTAGTCAGTCATGCAAATCTCTGAATATTTTAGGAAAATCAACCAAAACATGAAGCGATTCTGTGCTTTGCTCTCTTCTTACCTCCTGGGTGTCATTAAAGGCCTCCACAGCTCGCAGCACTAGCCCCTCCTCCTCCGACAGCACGTACACGTCCTGGATGCCGTTTTCCAGGTGCTCCCCGGGCTGCAGGAAAAACGAGCGCTCGCCCTGACAGAGGAAGACGAGGGGAAACGATCAGGCCTGAGGAAATGACACGAACGCAGCAAAACTAGAAGCGGCCAGACCGAAGCTCCGCCTCACCTTCACCACCCTCTTCTGACCCAGCTGAGGTTTCCCGTCGTGTCCGACCGGGTCCAGGATCACGCAGTACTGCCTGCTGCTCAGGGTGGTTACGTCCACCACACCCACCACCTCCTCTGCCACAGAGGGGATGTGGGCCTCTCTGTCAGCCATGGTGACCAGCCATTCCTCCCCGGTGCGACGCTCTCGCCCGCCGGCGTCTTTAAAGGGGCGCAGGGCGCGCACGTGCAGCGCTTTCTGAAGACACGACAGCAGCGAGCAGTCAGAGAAACCGTCGCCATCCGCGTGGTTTCTCTGAGGGCTCGAGAACCACAAACACTGAAGCTGTGTGATTGTGTCTGTGTGTGTCTGTGTGTGTGTGTGTCTATGTGTCAGTGTGTGTCTGTGTGTGTGTCAGTGTGTGTCTCTGTGTGTGTGTCAGTGTGTGTGTGTGTCTCTGTGT